ACAGGAGAATGTACCTAGTACAGCTTCACGCCGGACAATAGGTCTGTTCTCCAGATGCGGTCGCAAAGCGTCCATGCAATACCGGATGCTGCGTCATGAATGAAATGAAAAAATGTTTCTTACCGTTCCTTGGATGCTGTGGGACTTTCATCTCAGTTTGATTGTTTGTTTTGCAGCTTTCGATTTGCAAGACAAAAGACTTGTTGTTGGATTGCCAAAACTTACTTGGCATGGGAAGTTGCTTCGTGTGGCAAAATCACTGGTCACTGCGCTGGGCTTCCACTGCAATCACGCCAGCTGGTCTTCAAGAGCACCAAGCAGGTAACAAGTTTGATTCAGCAGGTGGGCTTGAACTTGTTGGACTGAGCTGTTGGGGCAGCATGACTTTGCGCGTCGTTGCTCTTGGCTGATATTATTCGCCTCGAAAAGCATCGCAACGAGGCCATGGATTTTAGTTTTCGACTGTACATCTTTTCCCCACCTTTCCTTGCTTTTCTTCAGGCAGCTGAGTTACAACAATGGACCTCGGGCTGTTTTGGATGCCTTCTGTTTAATCGCAAGTGCTTTCGGGTTCTAGTACCCGAAGAAGATGGGAGACGACAACCACTTGAGCTTCTACCTCTTGTGGCTTACTCTTAACTTGAGCTTTCTGGGATGGATGCCAGTAGGGAAGCGGATTGCTCGAAACATTGACTTTCCACTCGTTTGGTCGGAGATGCAAGCTGCGAGATAGTGACTGTGGGAACCCATAGAGAGAGATAGTGACCGCGCGACAAGTTTGTGTCCCTTCAGATGCTGCACCCCTGAACCCAATTCAATGTCACTTCACGACGCCCTGTGTCATGGTAGGTCGGTTTGGAAACAAAGCATCTAGTTATTTGTTTCTGTGGGTTCGGGGCTTACGGTCTAGTCCACTGCGATGCACCTGAACTACTTCCGAAAGCCCGCACAAGAGTTCTCGAAACCTGAAAACCTACTACAACAACCCCACCGGAAAGCTGACTTATATAGAAAACCTAAAGCTTAAACCGTAAACCCTAAATCCTAAAGTCTGCTGAAGCCCAAGTATAAGAATAAAGAGACATTGTCCCTGGACTTGTCTATTCCTTCATGGTCACGAAGGAAGACAAGGACATGCGGATATGATGACATGAAAAGGACAGTAGCATCACTCTGGAAACGATTGTTTCGTCGGAGGGCATGCAAAGGCAGATGGTTCTAGCTTGCCTTACAAGGTTCCGATTGAACTTGTTTTTTTGCTTGGATGTCTTCCTTGTGTGCAAACAAATTCCAGTCTGGATGGTATATACAGAATGTCCATGTGTAGCGTATGAGCTTGCTTGACTAGTTCTTTGGAGACCGTGGGTCGTGAGCAGTTCGCATGGTCGCAAATGCACAATCTCTTTGTTTCATTGCAGGTTTCACATGTGTGATTCTGTACATGAAACAAGCCGCTCGGCAATGTAGCTTTGGAAGCCTGGGTGAGACAACGGCTTCCCGAAAACAACGACTGCCCCGTTTGCTGCTCAAGGTCCTGAGGTCTCAGCAACATAGTGTAGACGGTCGAGGGCCTCAGCAAAGCACGCAGATAAGTTTCCATGGGAAGGCCAATTGTCAGCATGTTTCCTCAGCACGTTAGCTGCCAAACGAGGCTTCGTAAGCGAAACGTGCAGACGGCAACACGGACTTTCTTTGCAGCATAGGCATCCAACCCCCTTCCATGAATGGCCTTTTGGCGGCCCGGTGCGTTTTGAACTCAGCGGTTGAATCGGCAACAGTCGAGTTTACTGACTGGGTAGACCATGGGGAGATCGGGAGCTTCGGATGAACGAGACCGGACCACATCTTCAATCAGACACGACGTGTTCTAGGACTTTGACTTGCGCGCGCTCGCAATGCAAGCCTCGAAGCACTTCAACACTTCCCAACCACAGTTTCGAATCCCTATCCCCACGCACGACACCTTAATACTTAAACCAAAGCTTCGAATGATGATTCCAAGGCCACAGCCGGCGCATGCCGAACCCTGGGTGCTTTGCTTCGATTTGGCAGATTTATTTCGGGGTTGGTATCGTTGGAAGCTGAGACAACAGCCGTTTAAGGTGGTAGCTTCAGAACTTTGGACAAACAGGCTTGGAAGGTCACAACGAGTTCAACCCCTGGTTTCGGACACCGTCAGTAAATCGGGTATGCTTGATGCTAAGCCTGACATCCTCCATCCTGCGCATTTTGGAGCATCTGACTTGAGGCGCCTGGTTGATAGGGGTGTTGCCATTGAAGGTGATACTGCTCTTGTATTTGCCGGCTTCGCTTTTACTGTTGCTTTGATGGTTTTGTTTGTTGTTGGTGTTCGGAAAAGATATCACACTTAGATTCTACTCTGAACATGAGCATGGTCTTGCTGATCGAGATCATCACGTTTTTCCTTGTTTGGCTATGTTTTGAATTTTGGTGCGTACCCCAAACCCTACATCATAATGATGATGATAATGCTGCGGATGGCCATGAGGATGAGTATCCTAAGCCCTAAACCATTAAGCCTAAACCCTGAACCCTAAACCCCATAACCCCAAGCCCTAAACTCCTAAACCCTCAACCCTAAACCCTAAACCCCAAAACCCCAAACCCCAAAACCCCAAAAACCCAAAACCCCAAACCGCGAGCCTGTGGGCGCCTGCTTTCAGGACCTCGACTGTGATGCCGAGAAGCATCGGGCCGACTCCCGGGGTTCGCGGCGTCTTCTTCGGATAGATGGGTCCTGCAAGGGCTCAGAGTTTCTATGAGGGTATTTTTTTTTTTAAGTGGGGTTTCCGCAAGGGTTGAGGGTTTCATGACGGACGACGTGGTTGGGGATAAGGGCTTTGTTAATTTCAGCAACGGTTTTCCTGATGAGTTGTATACTATGCCGGTCTTTTGAGTCAGGTTTTGTCTTTTGTTGAGGTGTAGACTGTATCTATAAAGCCAAACGAGGTTGCAATTCTGATTAAGACGCAGTTTAGGGTTTAGGATTTGCACTGGGAGGTTTCAGAAGGTTACATTGGTAGTCGAGGAGGTATGGCTGGTTTAAATCTTGTTTGAATTCTCTACGAATAGCAAGAAGTTCGGAAGCCGCAGCCAACGCCGCACGCTGGAAGGGCAGCAATCGATCAGTGGCGTCGTCAAAAGCAGCAGCAATTGGTAGGAACATGTCAAGCTATGCATAACGGCATATCGCCTGTGGCGAGGAAGTGCCGTTGTGATCTATCGTGTTGGCATTGTGAGGAGAACAAACCCGGCACGAAAAGGACTGACACCTCCAACCACAAAGCGTGACGGGGCGAGAAGTGGATCCGCAAGGTGAGTGCTAGGTGGTGAAGATCCCCACACCCTTAACTGCACCCTAGAGCCTGAACCGTAGACTCAGCCTCCTGAATCGTGAGCACTGTCTCTGCACCCAGGATCTTGAGGTGCAAGTGCTTTCTTCATCCTCGAATTCCCCAAACCCCAAACCCGAAAAGGCTAAACCCAAAACGCTTCAAAGCTTTGCCACAGGCCCTGCCAGTCTTCAACTCCTCGGCGAGCCTGCCGGCCGGGAGCTCAAGGAGCTCCCACCCCCACTCCCACTCCCACCACCACTACCCCTACCCCTACCCTTACCCGCATCATGGATGAGGCGAGTCCCGCCTGAGGCTCTACGCCCCAATCTTTCAACCAATCGCAAGCCGAATCGAGGTGCAGCAGCAGCGGAAGCGCTTGCCGATCGCGCGCCAGCGCTTGGCCATCCTGCATGCGGTCCAAAACCCAGTGCCAGGGTTCCACATAGGGTTAAAATTTCTTTTGAAGGTCGCTCGTTTGATCGGGTTTCATATGGGAGTCCCTGATCAAAGCAGCTTTGCGTGCGTGCAGATGCTTCCGGCTGCCATGCGAAAAGGCCAATCTTCCTGTCTATACCCAACACCGAAGCCCGAAATCTTATCGTGCAGGATCCCGATGCGCGATAAACCCGACACCACTCAGAGTGCTTGAAGGATTCAAGTCTTGTTTCGCAATAGCTTCGGCGAGTCAATGCCTAAGCGAAGGTAGCACCCACGTCCGAAACAGGCAACCATGTTCGAACTCAAACATCCCCCAATGTTGGGAAGAAAGCAACTATCATCAAAGAGGCAGTTTGCAATAGTGTTGATAATGTAGACAAGCATGATATCTATGTTGAGGCTTGCATCGACACCATCGCTCCTACATATGTCCTGTGCAGATGCAACGATTCGTAAAGCCTGTAGCGGAATAATGCTACCAACTGGAACCGCACGGGTGATGTCAATACGATTGGGTGCGGGTGCATGAGCAACGTTTGAGGTTGTCATAGCAAAAGATGAAGATGGAGAGGCAAACGAGTGTCCAAAGTGTTCTAGACTATTAGTTTATGTATTGGAAGCAGTACAGCCAATGAGTACTGGTGCTTGACGGTACGGACGACAGTGAAGTGAAAAACACTGCAAGTCGTCATGTGGAGTTGCGAACGAATACTACGGTGGCTGTATGTGGCACATGTTCTACCGGTTTTACCAGATGGAGAACACACGTGTTTGAAGTGGTGGTGGTAGCGGTTGTGGTTTTGTGGGTGGGCTGGCTGGTGGGGATGGCTGGTGGAGGTGGCTGTGACGGCCGTCGAGAGAGGGGTGAATAAGGCGCCGCCATCAGTGGCAACAGCCGAAAGCAACTGCAGCATCAAAACCATCATCATTGATTTGTTCACTCTTCTTCGATATCTGTTGCCTGTTTTGCTGGAGCTATGTTGAGATTGAGTCTCACCAAAGAAACATCAGTATATCAGCTTTCAGCATTCGTGCAAAATGGAGCTATGTCTGCACCTTCGATCCTGAAGCAGAAGGCCAAAACCTCAACTAAACCCTGAACCGACCTGGTGTGTAACTTCCCATAGCGCGAGGTGGAGACGCACAGGGCAGTCGTGCTCTGTGGCGCAACAGGTGGGAGGGCGCATCGAGAGATATCGAGAGCCCTCTTAAGACGCGAGTCTTAACGTTGGGACTGAAGACATCAAATCCCTGTTATAAGTCCTTTTGCAGCACCTGCGGATTTCCGCTACGGTTTAAATATAAGCGTTTACGAACTTCATCTCCAAGCCCAACTCATTGCAGACCAAAGGCCTGCAACGTAGATGACAGAGCTGGAAAGTCTTCATTCGTAGCCTTTGCTCCAAAACCTGAGATTCAGCCATGCGTCTTGTGAAACCGCAAGCCCTGAACTCAAGACCGAAAGCCCTAAGGCCCTAAACCCTAAAACCCTAAACCCTAAACCCGAAACTCTAAACCCCCAAACCCAAAACCCTGAATCCTGCATCCTGAATCCTAAGCTTCGAATGAACAAATCCACGCCGCCGGCCGATCGTAGGATCCTTTTCACAGCTGCAAGGCTGCGGCAAGTCGACGCAGCTGCCGCAGTTCCTCGACGAAGCCGGGTGGACCGCCAAAGGCAAGGCAGTAGGGTTTTTTGGTTTTACGTAAACCTTAAACCCTAAACCCTGAGCCCTCAATTTAGGATTGTTCAGGGTTTCATAGGAAGGCAGAATCTGCCGCAGCAGGGCGTAGGGCGGCCTGAAGCCTAAACCCTAAACCCGAAACTCTAAACTAAACGGTACTCATCTGAGCAAATTCCCGCAGCCCGACTTTGGTGAAGGACTCCTTTGCCAATCAAACCCCAAACCTAGACCCCAAACCCTAAAACCCCAA